GGGAGAGGGAGAAGCAGGCTTCCCGCCGAGCAGGGAGCCCGATGCGGGGCTCGATCCCAGGGCCCTGGGACCATGACCTGAGCCGAAGGCAGACGCCCAACGACTGAGCCACCCAGGCGCCCCGAGACAGGAATTTTAAAAGTACCAGTGGGAACAGACATTGAGGGAGAGTCTGGAGAGTGTTCTGAGGTCAGTGGGCCAGGGCAGTGGTTGCTGTGATACTGGAGGGGAAATGCGGATCTACTCTAACTCCTATTTCTGGCTGGGGCTACTCAGTGATGCCATGTCCTGAAGGGATGAGGAGAAAGAGCACACGCTGGGGAAAAGGGAATGCTCTCCAGTTAGAATACGCTAACCCAGAGGGGTCCTGGAGACTCCCGGGTAGGAATGCCAAGGAAGCATCGAGAGTCCGGGTTCAGGCTCAGGAGGACAGAATGGGCCCCGGTCTCGAGAACTGTAGATGTAGGGATAACTAAGCTGCAGGAGTCGTTCACAAAGAAAGAGAAACAGCCTCAGGGAGAGGCCTGGCAGCGCTGACATCAAGAGCCAGTAGAGAAATCTGGAGAGAACTCAGGGTTGACTAAATTTAAAACACCACACCACATACCCAACCATGACACCATGCAACCTGCTGAAAAGCAGTTTTCCAGCCCCTTTCTCTCCTATCTGTGATAGACAAGATCGGGGCGGAAGAAGCTGCCCTATCTTGACTTCTCTCCAATCCAGGAAACGAGTTGGACCTGAGTTATTGCTAAGGATGGAAAAGCTGTACTGTTCTTTGTGCCAATACGGTTAGCAGTCTTTTTGCAACCATGTAATTTGCTTCAGTTGAGCTTAAGGTCTATACTGATGGTTGTCTCCTGATGCTAAACCAGTATTTATAAAAATGCAATATTCACTGATAACTGAGGGAAGGGTTATTCCCCCATCTGTAAGGAGATGGAGATGAGTGGATTGTGGAGCCTATATTCAAGGTGCAGAGCAGTAAATAAACAGGGAGGGGCACCCACTTCGGAAACAAAAACTCTGGGTTACCACGACCCTGAGTCACTATAGCATTCTACAGTAAAACAAAGAAACACAGCCCAGCACTGAACCCCAGGGACTAGGGCATATCGAATGCTGCTCTCCTCTCCGCTGCCACAAACTTGGAGC